TCATTCTGTTTGAAGCGTAGAGTAGCGTTTAGATGGAATATAAGTCTCTACAAAATATCTCCACCATTTATCTACCTTCTTTATTTGTCCAGAAGCTCACTTGTTTAGAAAAGCCTGTGTTGACATGGCATGTCTTCACTAATTTCATCATTTTGTCATATTCTTGGAGTCAAATGGGTCTCCCTCCCTGTCTGTAAACATGAACATTTCGAGATGAGCAGAATGGACCACAGCTGTCAGCCTTGAAAGGGAAGGAGACCACTCATTTCTAGTGTTTGCCTCTGAAAACCCTTCTCCTTTGCATCCTAAGCTTTCTAGTGTGTGTAAGGCCCTGTGTCATCACAAACTTCCTCAGGTGGGAAGGGCTCAGAATCTACTTGCTTTACAGTAGAGGTCAGAAAGCTGCTTGATGCAGAAGTGGCTCAGTACAGGAGAAAGGAGTTCTTCCTGCACGACTTCAGCCTGAACTGCCCGTTACATCACAGTGACAGTCACTTAGAAGCCTACAAAAACAAACCTGAAAGGAACTAATCTGTAAGTTGAGGTGTCCGAAAAGGAAGAAGCAAAGACAGCGAGAACTGTTTTGTCTCTATAGCCACATCCAGCCTAAGAAACACCAGTGCATCGTGAGACTGAGAAGCAGGAAGAAAAAAAAAAAATGACACCGTTTTCATTTTACATCAACCGGAAAACTTTTTTTTTTTTCCACCAGATCTCTCAGATGCGCCTTCTTGTGGCAAGGCACGGTACGAGCAGGTCTGCTATTCCACGTCACCAACACAGGGCTCCTTATCATCAGGCAGACCTTTAGTCTCAATCAGATTCTGTTTACCTCTTAGGTGAGACTGTCGGAATTGAGTAAAACAGCATCTATGAAAGCAAGCAAACTCTAAGGCTAGGAAGCAGAATCTCTTCTTGGCCAGCATGTAACTTTTATTCATTTTCTTCCTTGAGAAAGGGTTCATATTTCCTTTTTAGGCAACACATTTTGCCTGATATCTGCAATAACCAAACAGGGAAATACAGTATTCATTTGCCAAGAGCAAATTTTTTATTCCTTTGGGAAACCAGGGGATTTTTCTTGCTTTATACAACAAGTTAGAATCAGGAGAGGGAGGAAGGACAGCAGGCAGCTGCCAGTGCTACCCTCCAGGATCATTACAGTTTGCATTGCTAACACACCTGCCTAATCCTGTCATTGAAAAGCAAGAAGGCTCATTTTCCTATAAGTACTTTCCACTTTGTCAGTCTTCATATACATTAGCTCTGCTTCCTCAGGATGTACAGCACTGTCATAACTCGTCTGAGCCTTATTTCCTGCAACAAAACAGATCTGAGTGACACTTCCCTTTCACCTGACTGCTTGAGGCTACCCATAATGGCAGGGCATCTTCCCACTCTTAGGCCTTGCCCAGCCTGTGACCAATGGCTGCAGTGCAGGGGGCCTCTCTGAGAAAAAGAAATGTGCCGGTTGGCTGTGCTGATTCTACCTAGACCTGTTCCTGAGTTCTGGGAGAGAAGAACTGGGGAATGTGGGCACAGCACCTGGTGCTTGAGCAGCAGCCTCAGAGCCTCATGTGCATTCATACCCTTCCAACCTATCTCCCTGCTTTGTTTCTCCTGCTCCCACCATGGGCTTGCAGAGCTCTGCAGTTTGCCTGCACTCCTCCTAGTCCACCTCCTGCCCTTGTTCGGAGTCTTATTGGTTGCAAGGTACAGGTTGATTCTCCTGGAAGGGCACCCGTAGCTAGATCCACTAGCACAACCAGAGGTTTATTTCCTGGCATCATTTCCATTTTTGCTTTGTCAGCTCTGCATCTCAGCACTGTTCTCTTATTGTCTTCTTACTATTTTCTTCTTACCATCATAACTCAGAAGTCTTCAATCAGTTAACCCAGCTGGAATAAACATTCCTGCATGCTCACGTGCCCTCACTGATGAGTGTGACAGATCAGATGTGGTTACCATCAATTCCTACTTTTATTATTCAGTGTTGCACTAGAAAAGGCCTTCATTAGAAACTCTCAAAAGAGCACTCTCCTAACATAAATGCTTACACGTGGCTTTTGTGCCTATGAACTGCCTTCCTTTTTCTCCCTCTCCTCTTCCTTACTTTACCACTAACCTAGGGATTTGCCGAGGTACTTCTGTCCCATCATGCTGAAAAACAAAATACTTTTCAACTGTACTTCCATACCCACAGCTGAAAGACTTTGCACCTCTTTTTAACCACCAGAAAAGTCAGTCTGAGACATCTGAAGTCCATCTGCAATCATTAGATCATTTATAATCACCTGTTTTATTTGATTTAATGCTAGCAAAGGAAGCCTGAGTGGCCAGGACAAATTTGCAGCTGGATGTTTTGATAAGTAAATCTGACTGAGTGAGCTGACTCTCACCCTGTGCTTGCTGGTAGGATTGCCATTTCTGAGAACGTCCCTTGTCAGTGAGAAGGGGACAGGCCTTGCAGAGCTCCCTCAGAAACAAGAGACATCGTATCAGAGGTCCAAGTCATCTCCCACACCTGTCTCTTCATTCAGTCTACAGGCATCTGGAGTACCAAAGAAAGGGAGCGAATCAACTACCTTCGCACTGGAGTCTCAAGTAGAGGAGCATCAGTTCATACAGTTGCAGTATTTCCCTGCAGGTGGCACATTCCCCCAAGGACTGTGCCGCAGCTCAGTGCACGCAAAGCTCTGCAGGTTCATGGGCCCTTCTAGGGCCCCAAGCCCCCTTGCCTGCAACCCCACGGATGCGCAAAGCCACAGTGCTATCACCAGCACTGCAGGTGGCGCAGCAGCTGCATGCTGTTTATGTCAAGACAGGGTCCCTGTGCAGGGGAAACTTTCCCATTTGGGGATACTCCTGTCCTTGTGGAGATCCACTCCCTGCGGGCAAAGCCCCAGACTCAGCTCAAGGATATGCAGTGCCCAAGAGGGCTGGCTTACATCACGGAAATATTGTACCAAGCTCCCATGCTGGGGATGCATGATGCCAGAAGAGGAGCCAAAGCTCAAGTTAGGGCACAAAGCAGGGTCAGAGCATTCTAGCAGGTTCCTATACACTGGTGACATGTTCATCCTAGTGATAGAGGAGCCATCGAGCAGACGTGCTGTGCTGGAGCTCTCTCTCACTCACATGGAAGGGCAAGAGGAGAATGGGAACCTCAAGGGCAGCCTTGGCTGCAGTGCGATCACCAGTGGAGTTCAGGATCCTTAAGGCAGCAAAGAGGGCACAGAGCGAGATCACAGCTCACAGCCCTGCGCCTCAGGACAGCAGAGGCAGGCCTTCGCAAACAGATCCTTATGAAATTACCAGAAAACAGAAGCCCAAATATAATAATGAATTCAGAAGACTGCGATGTCTACTTAACAAGAAAGACCGCGTGTCCCCACAGGCACACAGGTGCAGGCACGCTGCCACACGCTGCGGTTTCAGCCGGCAGGCAGCTGAGCAGCACCCGGCCGTTCGCTCGCTCCGCCCCTGCCCCCAGTGTGCCATGGGGGAGAGAGCTGTAAACAGCCTCGAGGGCAGCTACAAACAGCAAAGGGCGGAAAGCAGTTACAGAAATTCAGATGATAACTGTAGTGTGTGCATCTCCACACGCATTCACAGCCTTTTCGCACACGTTCTGATAAGCAAACCTGAGTCAGCTGGCTCTCACCCGGCGCTTGCTGGGAGGATCTGCACTGCTGGGGACACCTCCGTTGGCAGTGGGAAGAGCACCCCGTGAAAGAGCTCCCTCTGACACCAGAGACATCGGGCCGGGGGCTGAGCCACCTCCTGCACTTGGCTGCTACCGCAGTCTGTAAGGACCCGCAGCGGCTGAGGTCAGGATTCGCATCCCTGACGTATGCTCCCAAAGGAAGGTGCCGTGCCACCGCTGCCATTAATCAAGGAGGAATGGTGGCCTCCTGGCTGGCAGCACTCATCCATTCCATGAGGGCCAGGCCTTCCCGCCAGGGCGGGAGCGATGCCCGGGTGTTGCCAGCATCCCCATCCTGCACACCCTCAGCGGAAGCCCGGCCCCGCAGCCGCGTTCCCCGGTGCCCACCAAGCCGTGCCACCATGCAGTGACCCCGTAGCGAGGCTGGGCGCTGCCCCACGTCCCAGCCCTGCGGACAGGCAGGGTTTCGCTTTTGAAAGCGGCCGCACACCCATCGCACACTTCCTCCTTCCCCACACCGGGCTGCATGTGGGGACACGGGCAGGGACAGCTCGGCCTGCAGCCTTCCTTCCCCTGTGCAGTTGGGGTTGCTGTGCTGGCCTCGCAGCAGCCACACAGCCTTGGACTGCAGCAATCTGCAGCTGTCCCTGTGTCTGCTCCTGCAGCAGGACAGCAAAGCAGGGCAGCAAGACCTTCCTGCATGCTGCAGGCTCGAGTAGAACAGCATCACCTTATGCAGTGTATTGCTTCTGTGCGGGTGCCACGGTAGCTGTGTGAGGTTGGTGCTCACAATGGGTCCCCATGTGATGGATAACATCCCCTCTTGTCTGTGCTGCAGGGAGATCATGGTGGTGCATGTGCCCCAATGCAGGCAGTGTTGTGAGGGGCTGGGGATGGTCCTCGAGACTATATCCTGGTCAGGATGTGAATGAAACTGCTGCCTTTGGAATCACCACGCCAGCTCCAGAACCTCACAATCATGGGGTGGGCTCTAGGCTGCAGAGGGAGAACCTGTATCCTGTCCTTGCTGGGACTTGCAATAAATGGTCACAGGCCATCCTCACAACAGGGACATGCAGCATGCAGGCAGGCTGGCTCTCCTTGGTGACATGCAGGCAATGAACACTGGTGATGGAGCTGCGTGACGCCAGAAGCGGAGACAAGTCTCATATTTGGGCACGAAGCAGGTTATTGGAGGCTGGGACCCAGCAGGCGGCTGATAACCCTGCTGATAACGGCTCCCACCGCACCTCGCCATCCCCATTGGCTCCTGCCAGCAGGGGCTGCCTATATCTCCCCCTCCCCATCCTGGGCTGCAGGCTGTGCATGTGGGGCACGATGATGCCTGCCAGGGTGCTGGGGTTGCTCCTCAGTTTGCAGCTCTGCATGGGTGAGTCGTGGGGCAGTGGGGTGGCTGTGGGACAGGGGGGAAGCAGAGGGGCAGGGTTGCAGCCAAGGGTCGGCCACCCCCTGGCTCAGCCACCTCCCTGGGGTGCCCACAGGCAGTGAGGAGCTGCGGCTGGTGGATGGCGGTGGACGCTGTGCCGGTCGGGTGGAGGTGAAGCATGAAGGCGAATGGGGATCCGTCTGCAGCTACAACATCCAGTGGAGCATGCAAGCAGCCACTGTGGTGTGTCGTCAGCTGGGCTGTGGCACGGTGGCCCATAGGTCCCCATATGCCCCATTTGGGCAGGGCAAGGGACGCATCTGGCTTCATCCTTACTTCTGCGATGGCACTGAGACCAAGCTGCAGAACTGCCTTCACTTTGGCTTTGGGAATCACTTCTGTGGCCATGATCGGGATGTTGGGGTGATCTGCACAGGTGAGGTAGGGTGACTGGGATGCAAACACAGTGCCAGGACCCCTGGGCCAGGGCTGAGCCTGATCCCTGATGCAGAGGCGCTGGAGCTGCGGCTGGTGGATGGTGGGGGACCCTGTGAGGGGAGAGTAGAGATGAAGCTGCGGGGACGCTGGGGCACAGTGAGTGACTTTGGCTGGAACATGAATCATGCCGAGGTGGTGTGCCAGCAGCTGGGTTGTGGCTCGGCTTCTCACACCACATTTACGTGGGGTATTTCGCAAGTCCACACTCCTCTTATGTTGGCCATTGAAAACTGCAATGGGAACGAGAAGACCATCTGGGACTGCAACATTTTTGGTTGGGGTCCCTACAATACTCCTCGTTTTTATAATGCATCTGTGGTCTGCCAAGGTGAGAGCTGGGGGCATATGGCAGTATGGGGAGGCAACTGCCCGCATCACCCAGCCCAGCAGCCCACTTCCCTTGGCAGGGTTCTCCCGGCTGGCCGGAGGGGACAGTGAGTGCTCAGGGAGACTGGAGGTGCGGCAGGGCCAGGCCTGGGTCAGCGTCTGTCACGGCCATGTGGACCTCATGGCCGCCCACGTTGTCTGCAGAGAGCTGGGCTGTGGTACAGCACTGGCCCTATATGGGACTGAGCAATTTGGTGCAGCAGAGGGGCCATTCTGGCATGGCGCCTTTGAGTGCAATGGCACTGAGCCCCTCCTGTCCGCTTGCACACAGCGGCCTCCACACATCCAGACCTGCACCCAAAACACAGCCATCATCTGCTCCTGTAAGTGCAAGGGCTGTAGATCTGCAGGGGCCCTGTGCAGTGTGGAGTGCTCAGGGGGTCCCTCACTCCACCAACCCCTCTCTCTGCTGCAGATTACACCGGGTTCCGGCTTGTGGATGGTGGCTCAGCCTGCACCGGGCGGGTGGAGGTGGAGGCACAAGGGGTGTGGGGACCCCTGTGTGCCACTGCCTGGGACCTGCCCGATGCCCATGTCCTCTGCCACCACCTGGGCTGTGGCTCTGCTATCTCCCTACTCCCACCAGGCCATTTTGGAAAAGGGATAGGGACACTGCGGCGTGATGCCTTCAGCTGCAGTGGGAACGAGTGGCACCTGGGCAAGTGCCCTGTGGATGTGCTGGGACAGCCCGCCTGCCCCCCTGGGCACACCGCTGCCGTCAACTGCTCAGGTGGGTACGGGGAAAGTGGGAAGCTCCAGTAGGTGGGGAGCAATGCCAGCTCCCACAGCACAGCCGGGCTGTTGCAGGTGTCACCGAGCCCCTGAGGCTCCACGGTGGGGAAAGCCGTTGTGACGGACAGCTGGAGGTGGCCGTGCGCCCCGGTGCCTGGGCCCGTGTGTCTGTGGGGCTGTGGGACAATGGCACTGCCACCGTGGCCTGCCGGCAGCTGGGCTGCGGTGTGCCTGAGAAAATCTACGCTGCGCCGGCCAATGGCTCGGGCCCCATGGAGCTGCAGGAGCTGCGCTGTGTGGGCACCGAGGGGCTCGTGGCACAGTGTAACATTTCAGGGATGGCCACAGAGCTCAGCAGGAGCCCTGAGGATCTGGCCATTGCCTGCTCAGGTGAGTGCACAGGGAAGGGCCACGAGCACAATGCTGCCATCCCCATCCGCAGCCCAACCCACCCATGCAGGAAGCAAGCAGCTGAGGCTGGTAGGCGGCCCGGGGCGCTGTGCCGGCAGGGTGGAGGTGTACAGCGAGGGCAGGTGGGGCACCGTCTGCCAGGACACCTGGACCCTGCAGGATGCCACCGTCGTCTGTCGCCAGCTGGGCTGCGGATGGGCCCTGGAGGCACCTGGCTCCGAGCGCTTTGGGCCTGGCACCGGGACGCTGTGGCCAGGTGCCGGGGGCTGCTCTGGCACAGAGGATGCTCTGTGGCACTGCGCAGCCCCAGTGCAGCGTGGCTGCCAGATTGGAGGTGGAGCGGGCGCTGTGTGCTCAGGTGAGTGCCACCATCCCTCTGCACGGGAGCAGCCCCACCGCCCTCGGGGTGCAGTGATCCCCTGACCTCGTTGCAGGGCTGCTGGACCTGCGGCTGACGGGAAAGAGCAGCAGATGCAGTGGATACCTGGAGGTGCTGCATGAGGGGACGTGGGGTCCTGTTTGTGCCAACGGCACCAGCCCTGCCACGGCCACTGCCGTCTGCCGCCAGCTGGGATGTGGCTCTAAGGGGGAGCTGGGAGAACCAGTCTCTGCAGAGGGCTTAGAACCCGCCTGGCTGAGCTGGGTGAGTTGTGAGGAGGGAGCCCGCTCGCTCTGGCGCTGCCCCTCAGCGCCATGGCAGCTGCAGGAATGCGACACCACTGGGATCACCTACATCTCCTGTGACGAGGACGCCAGGGACAGCAGTGAGGCTACCAGCCCAGCCCCAGGTAGCAGCCACTGGGACAGAGACACCCCAACAAAAATGGCTTTGTCCTCGCTCACTGTCCTCTGACTGCTGCCCTGAGATCCCCACGGGGCCTCACGCTTGCTATCGCTGCCCCACAGCTCTCACCCACAGCGCCGTCCCGCTGACTGCAGCGCCAAGCAGGGTGTCAGCACTCACGGTGCTGTGCGTGGTCCTGGGGACGCTGCTGTGCCTGGCCCTGGCCGCCCTGGCAGTCCTGGCACACCGCACTCGGGCCCAGAGCCAAGGTGGGCACCGCTCTGCAGGTTCTCCAACACGGGGCAGAACCCTGGGGACACTGGGGGCACCGGTGCCATGCACGCTGCTTTGCAGGCCCCAGCAAGGATGCTGCCTCTGAGGTTGTGTATGAGGAGCTGGACTACAGCCTGATGCCTGATTACCAGGAGGTGCCCAGCCACACAGGTGGGAGCGGGAGAGTCCCTGGGGCTTGAGGCTGTCCTCATCCCCTGTTGTGTCCCTAACACTCTTCCTCACCTCCAGGCTCCCTGTCCCAGGGCTCAGGGAAAAAGGTGTCGGAACCCAGTGGGGACGGTGCAGAGGAGAGCAACCTCCAGGTGTCCCCAGGTAGGGACATGGGCACAGAGGTGCACTGTGAGGACAGAAGGACACAGGGCACCCTTCAGAGGGGACAGAAGAAAACAGCACTGATGGGGAGGTGAGGGCACGAAGCCCCTCCCATCTGTATCCTCACCAATGTCCCATCCATGTCTGTTGCAGACCCCCTTGCTGAGCCCCATCACAGCCCCTCACATGGCTACGATGATGCTATGGCTGTGCTGGAGGTGTCCGTCTCTCCCCACCTCGGGGACGCTCCAGCACAACCACCCGAGGACACAGGATATGACGACGTTGGTGTCAGCACCCTGGGGACATCGCTGTGAGCAGCCTGTGGGGACATGGCTGGAACAGGGACCTCTGCTCCCAAGAAGGGGCAGCCCTGTTCTTGGCAGCATCACCTTTCCCTGCCTGGTGCACAAAACAGCAGCAAATTGCTCCGTTCTCCTTCCTGAAGCTGGGACACAACAGCAAGTTGACATGTAAAAATAATTTTCTGTAGCTCTTTCCTAATGAGTATCTCTCCTTTATTAAAACCCCAAATCAGTGGAGAAACTCACTTCCAGCCTTGGCTTCCGTACCTGATTCTGTCAGCCACCCCTCGTGGCTCTGGGGCAAAGATAGATTTCAGAGATCTCCCCTTTGGCTCTGGGCACGGGGGTAACAAAGGCAAGAGTGTGAAAGCTGACAGAGATGAGGTGGGACGGCTCCCCTGACTGCTGCGCTGCAGTGGAAGGACAACAAGGACGCGTGTCCCCACAGGCACACAGGTGCAGGCACGCTGCCACACGCTGCGGTTTCAGCCGGCAGGCAGCTGAGCAGCACCCGGCCGTTCGCTCGCTCCGCCCCTGCCCCCAGTGTGCCATGGGGGAGAGAGCTGTAAACAGCCTCGAGGGCAGCTACAAACAGCAAAGGGCGGAAAGCAGTTACAGAAATTCAGATGATAACTGTAGTGTGTGCATCTCCACACGCATTCACAGCCTTTTCGCACACGTTCTGATAAGCAAACCTGAGTCAGCTGGCTCTCACCCGGCGCTTGCTGGGAGGATCTGCACTGCTGGGGACACCTCCGTTGGCAGTGGGAAGAGCACCCCGTGAAAGAGCTCCCTCTGACACCAGAGACATCGGGCCGGGGGCTGAGCCACCTCCTGCACTTGGCTGCTACCGCAGTCTGTAAGGACCCGCAGCGGCTGAGGTCAGGATTCGCATCCCTGACGTATGCTCCCGAAGGACGGTGCCGAGCAGCCGTCCTGCCCCATCAGCTCCGTGCCACCGCTGCCATCAATCAAGGAGGAATGGCAGCCAGAGCCGAATGCCTGGCCCTGCTGAGCCCCGATGCCTCCTGCCGGAGCTCTGCACCACGAGCACAGCGGGGCAGCAGTGACGCCCAGGTGCTGCCAGCGTCCCCACCCCGCAGCCGCGTTCCCCGGTGCCCACCGAGCCGTGCCGCCATGCAGTGACCCTGCAGCGGGGCCGGGAGCTTCCCCACTTCCCAGCCCTGCAGATAGGCAGGGTTTCGCTTTTGAAAGCGGCCGCGCACCCATCGCACACTTCCTCCTTCCCCACACCGGGCTGCACGAGGGGACACGGGCAGGGACAGCTCGGCCTGCAGCCTTCCTTCCCCTGTGCAGTTGGGGTTGCTGTGCTGGCCTCGCAGCAGCCGCACAGCCCTTGGACTGCAGCAATCTGCAGCTGTGCCTGTGTCTGCTCCTGCAGCAGGACAGCAAAGCAGGGCAGCAAGACCTTCCTGCATGCTGCAGGCTCGAGTAGAACAGCATCACCTTATGCAGTGTATTGCTTCTGTGCGGGTGGCACGGCAGCTGTGTGAGGTTGGTGCTCACAATGGGTCCCTGCATGGAGAAAACATCCCCTCTTGCCTGTGCTGCAGGGAGAATGTTGGGTCCACTTGTATTCAGATGCAGGCAGTGCTGCATCCCAACAGCTGATGCAAGGGCCCTGCTGCCAGCATGGGGACTTTATTCACCCCCACTGCTGCTTGAGGAACCACAAAACCAGCTCTAGGGCTGCACTATAATGTGGTACGCACTAGAGTGCAGAGGGAGGCCTTGTTAGGGGTCGGTCTATACCCTGTGGGGACCCTCTCTGCATGGACACAGCCAGAGCCGCAGCCCCTACTCAGGGACATGCGCAGCACCCAGGCAGGCTGGCTCCCCTTGGTGATACACAGGCAGTGAGCCCCGTGGTGGGGCTGCGTGACGCCAGAAGCGGAGACAAGTCTCATATTTGGGCACGAAGCAGGTTATTGGAGGCTGGGACCCAGCAGGCGGCTGATAACCCTGCTGATAACGGCTCCCACCGCACCTCGCCATCCCCATTGGCTCCTGCCAGCAGGGGCTGCCTATATCTCCCCCTCCCCATCCTGGGCTGCAGGCTGTGCATGTGGGGCACGATGATGCCTGCCAGGGTGCTGGGGCTGCTCCTCAGTTTGCAGCTCTGCATGGGTGAGTCGTGGGGCAGTGGGGTGGCTGTGGGACAGGGGGGAAGCAGAGGGGCAGGGTTTGCAGCCAAGGGTCGGCCACCCCCTGGCTCAGCCACCTCCCTGGGGAGCCCACAGGCAGTGAGGAGCTGCGGCTGGTGGATGGCGGTGGACGCTGTGCCGGTCGGGTGGAGGTGAAGCATGAAGGCGAATGGGGATCCGTCTGCAGCTATGACTTCGACTGGGACATACGAGGGGCCAGTGTGGTGTGTCGTCAGCTGGGCTGTGGCACGGTGGCCCATGCATCCCCATATGCCCCATTCGGGCAAGGCAAGGGACGCATCTGGCTTCATCCCTTCTTCTGCCGCGGCACTGAGACCAAGCTGGAGAACTGCCCCCACTTTGGCTGGGGGAACCACTTCTGTGGCCATGAGTGGGATGTTGGGGTGATCTGCACAGGTGAGGCAGGGTGTCTGGGATGGGAACAGAATGCCAGGACCCCTGGGCATGGCTGAGGCCAATCCCTGATGCAGAGGCACTGGAGCTGCGGCTGGCAGACGGTGGAGGACCCTGTGAGGGGAGAGTAGAGATGAAGCTGCGGGGACGCTGGGGCACAGTGACAGATGATGCCTGGGACATGGATGATGCTGAGGTGGTGTGCCAGCAGCTGGGTTGCGGCTCAGCTGCTGGCGCGTTCTTTGCCTCACAATTTCGGTCAGTAGATGGCCCCATCATGTTGGCCTTTATTGACTGCCGTGGAGATGAGGCTGCCCTGTGGAATTGTAACATTCGGGGCTGGGGTCCCTACAATGGTCCTCATGATTATGACATTGCTGTGGTCTGCCAAGGTGAGAGCTGGAGGCATATGGCACTATGGGGAGCCCATCACTCATATCCCCCTGCCCAGCAGCTCACCTCCCTTGGCAGGGTTCTCCCGGCTGGCCGGAGGGGACAGTGAGTGCTCAGGGAGACTGGAGGTGCGGCAGGGCCAGGCCTGGGTCAGCGTCTGTCACGGCCACGTGGACCTCATGGCCGCCCACGTTGTCTGCAGAGAGCTGGGCTGTGGTACAGCACTGGCCCTATATGGGACTGAGCAATTTGGTGCAGCAGAGGGGCCATTCTGGCATGGCGCCTTTGAGTGCAACGGCACTGAGCCCCTCCTGTCCGCTTGCACACAGCGGCCTCCGCACATCCAGACCTGCACCCAAAACACAGCCATCATCTGCTCCTGTAAGTGCTGTGGATCTGCAGGGGCCCTGTGCAGTGTGGAGTGCTCAGGGGGTCCCTCACTCCACCAACCCCTCTCTCTGCTGCAGATTACACCGGGTTCCGGCTTGTGGATGGTGGCTCAGCCTGCACCGGGCGGGTGGAGGTGGAGGCACAAGGGGTGTGGGGACCCCTGTGTGCCACTGCCTGGGACCTGCCCGATGCCCACATCCTCTGCCACCACCTGGGCTGTGGCTCTGCTATCTCCCTACTCCCACCAGGCCATTTTGGAAAAGGGATAGGGACACTGCGGCGTGATGCCTTCAGCTGCAGTGGGAACGAGTGGCACCTGGGCAAGTGCCCTGTGGATGTGCTGGGACAGCCCGCCTGCCCCCCTGGGCACACCGCTGCCGTCAACTGCTCAGGTGGGTACGGGGAAAGTGGGAAGCTCCAGTAGGTGGGGAGCAATGCCAGCTCCCACAGCACAGCCGGGCTGTTGCAGGTGTCACCGAGCCCCTGAGGCTCCACGGTGGGGAAAGCCGTTGTGACGGACAGCTGGAGGTGGCCGTGCGCCCCGGTGCCTGGGCCCGTGTGTCTGTGGGGCTGTGGGACAATGGCACTGCCACCGTGGCCTGCCGGCAGCTGGGCTGCGGTGTGCCTGAGAAAATCTACGCTGCGCCGGCCAATGGCTCGGGCCCCATGGAGCTGCAGGAGCTGCGCTGTGTGGGCACCGAGGGGCTCGTGGCACAGTGTAACATTTCAGGGATGGCCACAGAGCTCAGCAGGAGCCCTGAGGATCTGGCCATTGCCTGCTCAGGTGAGTGCACAGGGAAGGGCCACGAGCACAATGCTGCCATCCCCATCCGCAGCCCAACCCACCCATGCAGGAAGCAAGCAGCTGAGGCTGGTAGGCGGCCCGGGGCGCTGTGCCGGCAGGGTGGAGGTGTACAGCGAGGGCAGGTGGGGCACCGTCTGCCAGGACACCTGGACCCTGCAGGATGCCACCGTCGTCTGTCGCCAGCTGGGCTGCGGATGGGCCCTGGAGGCACCTGGCTCCGAGCGCTTTGGGCCTGGCACCGGGACGCTGTGGCCAGGTGCCGGGGGCTGCTCTGGCACAGAGGATGCTCTGTGGCACTGCGCAGCCCCAGTGCAGCGTGGCTGCCAGATTGGAGGTGGAGCGGGCGCTGTGTGCTCAGGTGAGTGCCACCATCCCTCTGCACGGGAGCAGCCCCACCGCCCTCGGGGTGCAGTGATCCCCTGACCTCGTTGCAGGGCTGCTGGACCTGCGGCTGACGGGAAAGAGCAGCAGATGCAGTGGATACCTGGAGGTGCTGCATGAGGGGACGTGGGGTCCTGTTTGTGCCAACGGCACCAGCCCTGCCACGGCCACTGCCGTCTGCCGCCAGCTGGGATGTGGCTCTAAGGGGGAGCTGGAAGAACCAGTCTCTGCAGAGGGCTTAGAACCCGCCTGGCTGAGCTGGGTGAGTTGTGAGGAGGGAGCCCGCTCGCTCTGGCGCTGCCCCTCAGCGCCATGGCAGCTGCAGGAATGCGACACCACTGGGATCACCTACATCTCCTGTGACGAGGACGCCAGGGACAGCAGTGAGGCTACCAGCCCAGCCCCAGGTAGCAGCCACTGGGACGGAGACACCCCAACAAAAATGGCTTTGTCCTCGCTCACTGTCCTCTGACTGCTGCCCTGAGATCCCCACGGGGCCTCACGCTTGCTATCGCTGCCCCACAGCTCTCACCCACAGCGCCGTCCCGCTGACTGCAGCGCCAAGCAGGGTGTCAGCACTCACGGTGCTGTGCGTGGTCCTGGGGACGCTGCTGTGCCTGGCCCTGGCCGCCCTGGCAGTCCTGGCACACCGCACTCGGGCCCAGAGCCAAGGTGGGCACCGCTCTGCAGGTTCTCCAACACGGGGCAGAACCCTGGGGACACTGGGGGCACCGGTGCCATGCACGCTGCTTTGCAGGCCCCAGCAAGGATGTTGCCTCTGAGGTTGTGTATGAGGAGCTGGACTACAGCCTGATGCCTGATTACCAGGAGGTGCCCAGCCACACAGGTGGGAGCGGGAGAGTCCCTGGGGCTTGAGGCTGTCCTCATCCCCTGTTGTGTCCCTAACACTCTTCCTCACCTCCAGGCTCCCTGTCCCAGGGCTCAGGGAAAAAGGTGTTGGAACCCAGTGGGGACGGTGCACAGGAGAGCAACCTGCAGGTGTCCCCAGGTAGGGACATGGGCACAGAGGTGCACTGTGAGGACAGAAGGGCACAGGGCACCCTTCAGAGGGGACAGAAGAAAACAGCACTGATGGGGAGGTGAGGGCACGAAGCCCCTCCCATCTGTATCCTCACCAATGTCCCATCCATGTCTGTTGCAGACCCCCTTGCTGAGCCCCATCACAGCCCCTCACATGGCTACGATGATGCTATGGCTGTGCTGGAGGTGTCCGTCTCTCCCCACCTCGGGGACGCTCCAGCACAACCACCCGAGGACACAGGATATGACGACGTTGGCGTCAGCACCCTGGGGACATCGCTGTGAGCAGCCTGTGGGGACATGGCTGGAACAGGGACCTCTGCTCCCAAGAAGGGGCAGCCCTGTTCTTGGTAGCATCACCTTTCCCTGCCTGGTGAACAAAACAGCAGCAAATTGCTCCATTCTCCTTCCTGAAGCTGGGACACAACAGCAAGTTGACATGTAAAAATAATTTTCTGTAGCTCTTTCCTAATGAGTATCTCTCCTTTATTAAAACCCCAAATCAGTGGAGAAACTCACTTCCAGCCTTGGCTTCCATACCTGATTCTGTCAGCCACCCCTCGTGGCTCTGGGGCAAAGATAGATTTCAGAGATCTCCCCTTTGGCTCTGGGCACGGGGGTAACAAAGGCAAGAGTGTGAAAGCTGACAGAGATGAGGTGGGACGGCTCCCCTGACTGCTGCGCTGCAGTGGAAGGACAACAAGGACGCGTGTCCCCACAGGCACACAGGTGCAGGCACGCTGCCACACGCTGCGGTTTCAGCCGGCAGGCAGCTGAGCAGCACCCGGCCGTTCGCTCGCTCCGCCCCTGCCCCCAGTGTGCCATGGGGGAGAGAGCTGTAAACAGCCTCGAGGGCAGCTACAAACAGCAAAGGGCGGAAAGCAGTTACAGAAATTCAGATGATAACTGTAGTGTGTGCATCTCCACACGCATTCACAGCCTTTTCGCACACGTTCTGATAAGCAAACCTGAGTCAGCTGGCTCTCACCCGGCGCTTGCTGGGAGGATCTGCACTGCTGGGGACACCTCCGTTGGCAGTGGGAAGAGCACCCCGTGAAAGAGCTCCCTCTGACACCAGAGACATCGGGCCGGGGGCTGAGCCACCTCCTGCACTTGGCTGCTACCGCAGTCTGTAAGGACCCGCAGCGGCTGAGGTCAGGATTCGCATCCCTGACGTATGCTCCCGAAGGACGGTGCCGAGCAGCCGTCCTGCCCCATCAGCTCCGTGCCACCGCTGCCATCAATCAAGGAGGAATGGCAGCCAGAGCCGAATGCCTGGCCCTGCTGAGCCCCGATGCCTCCTGCCGGAGCTCTGCACCACGAGCACAGCGGGGCAGCAGTGACGCCCAGGTGCTGCCAGCGTCCCCACCCCGCAGCCGCGTTCCCCGGTGCCCACCGAGCCATGCCGCCATGCAGTGACCCTGCAGCGGGGCCGGGAGCTTCCCCACTTCCCAGCCCTGCAGATAGGCAGGGTTTCGCTTTTGAAAGCGGCCGCGCACCCATCGCACACTTCCTCCTTCCCCACACCGGGCTGCACGAGGGGACACGGGCAGGGACAGCTCGGCCTGCAGCCTTCCTTCCCCTGTGCAGTTGGGGTTGCTGTGCTGGCCTCGCAGCAGCCGCACAGCCCTTGGACTGCAGCAATCTGCAGCTGTGCCTGTGTCTGCTCCTGCAGCAGGACAGCAAAGTGGGGCAGCAAGACCTTCCTGCATGCTGCAGGCTCGAGTAGAACAGCATCACCTTATGCAGTGTATTGCTTCTGTGCGGGTGGCATCGGCAGCTGTGTGAGGTTGGTGCTCACATTGGGTCCCTGCATGCAGAAAACATCCCCTCTTGTCTGTGCTGCAGGGAGAATGTTGGGTCCACTTGTATTCAGATGCAGGCAGTGCTGCGTCCCAACAGCTGATGCAAGGGCCCTGCTGCCAGCATGGGGACTTTATTCACCCCCACTGCTGCCTGAGGAACCACAAAACCAGCTCTAGGGCTGCACTATCATGTGGTACGCACTAGAGTGCAGAGGGAGGCCTTGTTAGGGGTCGGTCTATACCCTGTGGGGACCCTCTCTGCATGGACACAGCCAGAGCCGCAGCCCCTACTCAGGGACATGCGCAGCACCCAGGCAGGCTGGCTCCCCTTGGTGATACACAGGCAGTGAGCCCCGTGGTGGGGCTGCGTGACGCCAGAAGCGGAGACAAGTCTCATATTTGGGCACGAAGCAGGTTATTGGAGGCTGGGACCCAGCAGGCGGCTGATAACCCTGCTGATAACGGCTCCCACCGCACCTCGCCATCCCCATTGGCTCCTGCCAGCAGGGGCTGCCTATATCTCCCCCTCCCCATCCTGGGCTGCAGGCTGTGCATGTGGGGCACGATGATGCCTGCCAGGGTGCTGGGGTTGCTCCTCAGTTTGCAGCTCTGCATGGGTGAGTCGTGGGGCAGTGGGGTGGCTGTGGGACAGGGGGGAAGCAGAGGGGCAGGGTTTGCAGCCAAGGGTCGGCCACCCCCTGGCTCAGCCACCTCCCTGGGGAGCCCACAGGCAGTGAGGAGCTGCGGCTGGTGGATGGCGGTGGACGCTGTGCCGGTCGGGTGGAGGTGAAGCATGAAGGCGAATGGGGATCCGTCTGCAGCTATGACTTCGACTGGGACATACGAGGGGCCAGTGTGGTGTGTCGTCAGCTGGGCTGTGGCACGGTGGCCCATGCATCCCCATATGCCCCATTCGGGCAAGGCAAGGGACGCATCTGGCTTCATCCCTTCTTCTGCCGCGGCACTGAGACCAAGCTGGAGAACTGCCCCCACTTTGGCTGGGGGAACCACTTCTGTGGCCATGATTGGGATGTTGGGGTGATCTGCTCAGGTGAGGCAGGGTGTCTGGGATGGGAACAGAATGCCAGGACCCCTGGGCATGGCTGAGGCCAATCCCTGATGCAGAGGCACTGGAGCTGCGGCTGGCAGACGGTGGAGGACCCTGTGAGGGGAGAGTAGAGATGAAGCTGCGGGGACGCTGGGGCACAGTGACAGATGATGCCTGGGACATGGATGATGCTGAGGTGGTGTGCCAGCAGCTGGGTTGCGGCTCAGCTGCTGGCGCGTTCTTTGCCTCACAATTTCGGTCAGTAGATGGCCCCATCATGTTGGCCTTTATTGACTGCCGTGGAGATGAGGCTGCCCTGTGGAATTGTAACATTCGGGGCTGGGGTCCCTACAATGGTCCTCATGATTATGACATTGCTGTGGTCTGCCAAGGTGAGAGCTGGAGGCATATGGCACTATGGGGAGCCCATCACTCATATCCCCCTGCCCAGCAGCTCACCTCCCTTGGCAGGGTTCTCCCGGCTGGCCGGAGGGTACAGTGAGTGCTCAGGGAGACTGGAGGTGCGGCAGGGCCAGGCCTGGGTCAGCGTCTGTCACGGCCACGTGGACCTCATGGCCGCCCACGTCGTCTGCAGAGAGCTGGGCTGTGGTACAGCACTGGCCCTATATGGGACTGAGCAATTTGGTGGAGCAGAGGGGCCATTCTGGCATGGCGCCTTTGAGTGCAACGGCACTGAGCCCCTCCTGTCCGCTTGCACACAGCGGCCTCCGCACATCCAGACCTGCACCCAAAACACAGCCATCATCTGCTCCTGTAAGTGCTGTGGATCTGCAGGGGCCCTGTGCAGTGTGGAGTGCTCAGGGGGTCCCTCACTCCACCAACCCCTCTCTCTGCTGCAGATTACACCGGGTTCCGGCTTGTGGATGGAGGCTCAGCTTGCACCGGGCGGGTGGAGGTGGAGGCACAAGGGGTGTGGGGACCCCTGTGTGCCACTGCCTGGGACCTGCCCGATGCCCACGTCCTCTGCCACCACCTGGGCTGTGGCTCTGCTATCTCCCTACTCCCACCAGGCCATTTTGGAAAAGGGATAGGGACACTGCGGCGTGATGCCTTCAGCTGCAGTGGGAACGAGTGGCACCTGGGCAAGTGCCCTGTGGATGTGCTGGGACAGCCCGCCTGCCCCCCTGGGCACACCGCTGCCGTCAACTGCTCAGGTGGGTGCGGGGACCATGGGAAGCTCCAGTAGGTGGGGAGCAATGCCAGCTCCCACAGCACAGCCGGGCTGTTGCAGGTGTCACCGAGCCCCTGAGGCTCCACGGTGGGGAAAGCCGTTGTGACGGACAGCTGGAGGTGGCCGTGCGCCCCGGTGCCTGGGCCCGTGTGTCTGTGGGGCTGTGGGACAATGGCACTGCCACCGTGGCCTGCCGGCAGCTGGGCTGCGGTGTGCCTGAGAAAATCTACACTGCGCCGGCCAATGGCTCGGGCCCCATGGAGCTGCAGGAGCTGCGCTGTGTGGGCACCGAGGGGCTCGTGGCACAGTGTAACATTTCAGGGATGGCCACAGAGCTCAGCAGGAGCCCTGAGGATCTGGCCATTGCCTGCTCAGGTGAGTGCACAGGGAAGGGCCACGAGCACAATGCTGCCATCCCCATCCGCAGCCCAACCCACCCATGCAGGAAGCAAGCAGCTGAGGCTGGTAGGCGGCCCGGGGCGCTGTGCCGGCAGGGTGGAGGTGTACAGCGAGGGCAGGTGGGGCACCGTCTGCCAGGACACCTGGACCCTGCAGGATGCCACCGTCGTCTGTCGCCAGCTGGGCTGCGGATGGGCCCTGGAGGCACCTGGCTCCGAGCGCTTTGGGCCTGGCACCGGGACGCTGTGGCCAGGTGCCGGGGGCTGCTCTGGCACAGAGGATGCTCTGTGGCACTGCGCAGCCCCAGTGCAGCGTGGCTGCCAGATTGGAGGTGGAGCGGGCGCTGTGTGCTCAGGTGAGTGCCACCATCCCTCTGCACGGGAGCAGCCCCACCACCCTCGGGGTGCAGTGATCCCCTGACCTCGTTGCAGGGCTGCTGGACCTGCGGCTGACGGGAAAGAGCAGCGGATGCAGTGGATACCTGGAGGTGCTGCATGAGGGGACGTGGGGTCCTGTTTGTGCCAACGGCACCAGCCCTGCCACGGCCACTGCCGTCTGCCGCCAGCTGGGATGTGGCTCTAAGGGGGAGCTGGGAGAACCAGTCTCTGCAGAGGGCTTAGAACCCGCCTGGCTGAGCTGGGTGAGTTGTGAGGAGGGAGCCCGCTCGCTCTGGCGCTGCCCCTCAGCGCCATGGCAGCTGCAGGAATGCGACACCACTGGGATCACCTACATCTCCTGTGACGAGGACGCCAGGGACAGCAGTGAGGCTACCAGCCCAGCCCCAGGTAGCAGCCACTGGGACAGAGACACCCCAACAAAAATGGCTTTGTCCTCGCTCACTGTCCTCTGACTGCTGCCCTGAGATCCCCACGGGGCCTCACGCTTGCTATCGCTGCCCCACAGCTCTCACCCACAGCGCCGTCCCGCTGACTGCAGCGCCAAGCAGGGTGTCAGCACTCACGGTGCTGTGCGTGGTCCTGGGGACGCTGCTGTGCCTGGCCCTGGCCGCCCTGGCAGTCCTGGCACACCGCACTCGGGCCCAGAGCCAAGGTGGGCACCGCTCTGCAGGTTCTCCAACACGGGGCAGAACCCTGGGGACACTGGGGGCACCGGTGCCATGCACGCTGCTTTGCAGGCCCCAGCAAGGATGCTGCCTCTGAGGTTGTGTATGAGGAGCTGGACTACAGCCTGATGCCTGATTACCAGGAGGTGCCCAGCCACACAGGTGGGAGCGGGAGAGTCCCTGGGGCTTGAGGCTGTCCTCATCCCCTGTTGTGTCCCTAACACTCTTCCTCACCTCCAGGCTCCCTGTCCCAGGGCTCAGGGAAAAAGGTGTCGGAACCCAGTGGGGACGGTGCAGAGGAGAGCAACCTGCAGGTGTCCCCAGGTAGGGACACGGGCACAGAGGTGCACTGTGAGGACAGAAGGGCACAGGACACCCTTCAGAGGGGACAGAAGAAAACAGCACTGATGGGGAGGTGAGGGCACGAAGCCCCTCCCATCTGTATCCTCACCAATGTCCCATCCATGTCTGTTGCAGACCCCCTTGCTGAGCCCCATCACAGCCCCTCACATGGCTACGATGATGCTATGGCTGTGCTGGAGGTGTCCGTCTCTCCCCACCTCGGGGACGCTCCAGCACAACCACCCGAGGACACAGGATATGACGACGTTGGTGTCAGCACCCTGGGGACATCGCTGTGAGCAGCCTGTGGGGACATGGCTGGAACAGGGACCTCTGCTCCCAAGAAGGGGCAGCCCTGTTCTTGGCAGCATCACCTTTCCCTGTTCGGTGCTGCAGAACAACAGCAAATTGCTCCGTTCTCCTTCCTGTAGCTGGGATACACAACAGCTAATCAGTTTTTTAAAGTTATTTTTCTGTAGCTCTTTCCTAATGAGTATCTCTTCTTTATTAAAACCCCAAGACTATGTGGAAACTCACTTCCAGCCTTGGGTCCTGTACCTGAGTCTGTCAGCCATTCCATGGAGACATGGGGTAAAGCTGAATTACAGATATATCCCCATTGGTTCTGGACACGGGTGAAACAACAGGAAGGGTTGGAAATCTCACAGATATGAGTTGAGATGGCTCCCATAGCTGCTGTGCTGCAATGTATAGAGAATAACAACTGCACGTCCCCCCAGGCACACAGATGTAGGCATGCTGGTGAAGCTTTTCTCCTCCATGTTATTGAAGGAGACAGTGGGGAGGGGATGCTGTACTGAAGCTTGCTCTCACTCACATGAAGATTCAGGTGGGGAATGAGAAGCTCAAGGGCAGCGTTGGCCACAGTGTCAATGAACTGTGGAGTTCAGCATCCTTAGGGCAGCGATGAGTACACGCAGCAATCTCACATCCCTGGGCTTCAGGACAGTAGAGGTTGGCCATCACAGGGAAATTCTTGCTTGTGATAAAGCCCTGGAAAGGCCCTGGTTAATATCCAAGGATCACCTTCTCCCAGCTCAGAAGCAACACACCCTGATGCAGAGAAAGTTTGGCAAAAACACTGGGAGGCCTGCATGGGTTAACAAGGAGATCCTGGCCTAATTCTAACACAAACTGGAAACCTACAGAGATGGAGCAAGAGTGGGCAATGTTAGAGGGAAGCATGCAGCTAGCATGAAGGGATTCCGAAAATCATTAATAAAATGACTAAAATGAACTCAACAAACCTTTACCTGGGACACTTCAATGGACATTTTGAAGTAATGGCCCACAGCCTACAAATAGTAATATCTCAGTGTATCAAAGGACAGGAAGGGTGGTGGTGATTCATGAGGATATTTTCTCAAGCGTAAAACCCGAGCATGACGCAGATGGTGTAGAACTACGGGTGGATACTCTGCCGGTTTTTGCTGGGATTGCATTCGTTTTGTTCCACGAAAGAGACACTCCAGCCCAGGAAGTTGCCCGTCCCCAGAAGTGCTGTGCTGTCCCAGTGCCAGCAGAGAGCAGTGGCAGCACAGCAAAGCACCGCGCCTGGCGGTGGGGATGTCCCAGCGCCTCCCGGTCTGCACGATGTCCGATTTCCTGGCTCCATGTCATAGCCGGTGGTACTCCTCTGTTGTCCTGAAGCCCTCCAAGGATGGCAGCCCCAGGTCAGCAGGCCAGGAGTGATGATCTTTTTCCTCTGCTCCATACTGATGAGCCCACACCTGGAGTGCTGAGTCAGCTCTGGGCTCTCTGGTACAACAGAGAGGTGGGCATCCTGGAGAGACTCCAACCAAGTACCATGAATATGGTGGACTAGAGCCTGTCTCCTATCAGGAAAGGCTGAGGAATCTGAGACTGTTCATCCTGAGGAGATCTTCTTTGTTCTACAGAATAAGGCAGCTGATGGGAGGGCATTAAAGTGGCAGAGACAGGCTCTTCTTGCTGGTGAGGGACAAGGTGCTCTCATTGGCCCCTTTGGCTGTTCACCACACCACTCACTGCAGCCCCATTCTCTACCAGAACTATCCTGGGAAGAGGAACTAACCAGCAGAAATAGGGGAAATAAACCTGTCCATAAGGAAAGAGCCATGGTTACTTCAGCAGTTTTGCAGCAGAAACAACTTTAACTGCTTATTACCCAAAGCATACAGCAGTGACACAGTTCCACACGGAAGGTACCCTTCCCTACCCCGAACACTGAGGAGAGGACAGGGATGGGTTTCAGGAGGCTGTAAGGAGCAGTGAGAAGTGCTGAAGTCTCCCCCAAAGCCACCAGAGCCTTGCGGGGCATGGTAGAGCCAGGGTGAAGGGAGGGAGTGACTGAAGGGAGATACACATGGTGGCATCATGTGGATGCCAGCGGAGTGCTGAATAAAAGAGTTCACCCTGTCCCATTCCCAGCAGAGTAACTTTCACATCAAGAGGGAGCTTTTGCTGCAGGGAGGCAGTGAGCTCCAGGCTTTCCTGCCCCTCACCCAGTCACCTCTGCCCCACTCAGCCATTTCTCATGTTAACCAGCTTTCACTTCTCCTTTCCCTTCTCTTAATTCAATCATGAGAGGAGGAACCACCCACCAGCCGCACCCCCTCCTCTTCATTTCCCCAGCCACCTCTTCACCACTGGGACGTCCAGAGTTCTTCAGCCATGGTCTGGGTGCTGAGGGTGGTCCTCCTCGCCCAGGCGCTGGCTATGGCAGTGGCAGAGGTTGAGCAGCCCCAGGAGCCACTGTCCTCTGTGGGGTTTCAGGACTGCAAGAAGGCCCTGAAGCTCCCAAGCCTGGAAGTCCTCCCCGGGGGGGGCTGGGACAACCTCAGGAATTTAGATATGGGCAGAGTCATAGATCTGAGCTACTCGCTGTGTAAGACCACTGAAGATGGGTCCTACATCATCCCAGATGACATCTTCACCATTCCTCGCAAGCAGAGCAACCTGGACATCAACTCTGAGATCATCGAGTCCTGGAAGGATTACAAAAGCGTCACCTCTGCCTCCATCAACCTGGAGCTGTCCCTCTTCTCTGCAATCAATGGCAAGTTCTCTTACAACTTCCACCAGGCCAAGACCCACCAAGTGCAGGACAAGGCGGTCACCACTCGCGTACAGGTCAGGAACCTGGTTTACACTGCCAAGATTGACCCAGGAGCAAGCCTGGACAAGGGCTTCAAGAAGCAGCTGTTGACCATTGCCAGCCACCTGGAGAACAACCAGACTCGGATGGCTGATTTTCTGTCTGAGGTGCTGGTGCTCAACTATGGCACCCACACCATCACATCTGTGGATGCTGGAGCCAGCTTGGTCCAGGAGGATCAGATCAAGGCCACCTTCCTGAAGGACAGCTGGGCCACACGGAGCTCCATCACTGCTTCAGCCGCTGTGGCCTTCCACAGCATAATCAATGTGAAAACTGAGGAATCTCAAGGCACCAGTTCTGCCTTCACCAAGCAGTACCTAGAGAACCGCACCAACTCCAGAGTAGAGAGCATCGGCGGGACCCCCTTTTACCCAGGCATCACCCTTAAGACCTGGCAGGAGGGAATTAGCAACCAGCTGGTGGCCATCGACCGCTCAGGGCTGCCTCTGTACTTCTTCATCAGCCCCAGCACCCTGCCAGAGCTGCCCAGCCCCACGGTGAAGAAGCTGGCCAAGCGGGTGGAGATGGCCATCCGCCGCTACTACACCTTCAACACCTACCCTGGCTGCACCGATGCCACCTCACCCAACTTCAACTTCCACGCCAACGCTGACGATGGCTCCTGCGTGGGGACTATGACCAATTTCACCTTTGGGGGAGTCTTCCAGGAGTGCACTGGGCTGGCCGGCCCCGACACCAATGAACTGTGCCGGGCGCTGGAGCAGAAAAACCCCCTCACCGGGGCTTTCTCCTGTCCCACCTCGTACAGCCCCGTGCTGCTGGGCATGCAGGAGCGGGAGGAAGGCCACAGCCACCTGGAGTGCCACAACAAGTGCACCCTGGGCATCTTCTGTCACCGTGTCTGCAGGGACGTCTTCTGGCTCTCCCGGGTGCAATTCAGAGCTTATTGGTGTGTCGCAAGTGGCCCAGTGTCCCCAGACTCAGGTTACCTCTTCGGGGGGCTGTTCAGCAGCCGCAGCGTCAACCCCCTCACGGGTGCCCAGTCCTGCCCCTCGCGGTACTTCTTGCTGAAGCTCTTTGATGACCTCAGGTTGTGCGTGAGCCAGGATTACGAGGGAGGCAGCCAGTACGCGGTGCCCTTCGGGGGCTTCTTCAGCTGCCAGACAGGGAACCCCTTAGGGGGTCAGCACCAGGGTACCGCCGAGGACCCTTACGCCAAGCGCTGCCCCACAGGCTTCAGCCAGCACTTAGCACTGATCAGTGACAGCTGCCAGGTGGAGTACTGTGTCCAGGCTGGCGTCTTCACGGCGGGCTCGCTGCCGCCGGCGCGTCTACCACCCTTCACCCGACCCCCTGCCAACCTGCCAGCCATCGACACCGTGCTGGTGAGCAACGGGGATGGGGAGAGCGCCTGGGTGCGGGATGGGACGGGCCGTGCGTGGCGGCTGGCACAGCCCATTGAGATCCAGCAGGCAGCAGAGATGGTGAGGGGCCGGGCGCTGACGGGGGGTGAGGTGGCTGGCGTGGCTGCAGCCGTGGTGGTGGGGCTTGTCACCATCCTGGCAATGGTCTGCTATGGTCGCTGGAGGTACAGGAGAAGGGGGTACCTGGCTATGAGTGACAGGGACACGCCTGTGCAGAGGCCAGGGGACAGCACCGCAGTGAACATGGGTGAGGGGCACCAGCAAGAGTCAGCGGACCTCGTGGAATAAGTATTGCTCAGCTGCTTGTGCTCCTAACCTAGGTGAAGCCCCAGGCCCACTCCTTTCCCTGAGGCACAGATGTGCACAGTGCCAGCAGCCCCTGCCCCTCACCCCATTCCCACGACAGATTCACCTCTCTGCAGCTCCAGCTACCCTGCAGGGCTCCACCACCCTTCATCCTTCTCTAGGCCCCCTGGTTGAGCTCCAAGGCCACCATCTGAGGCTATCCCTCCACCAGGACCCACCACATCTCCCTGCCAG